GAGCGAGAGATAGAGAGAGAGAGAGACAACGAATGAAAACCGAAGAGCGGTAAAATCCACCTGTCCTCCAGACTGGCAACGCGCCCATCATCCTCCGTGGTGCATACCTCTCGGGGCAAGGAGGAAGGCCTTGCGGTTGGGACTTCTCATACACACCTAAAGCGCACGACCCGGTGCGGCTTATGTTATTGCGTAAGTCGTGCCTGGTCGATGCCCGACAGCGGCGCCAGAAAATCGCATCCTTCGGGCATCAAGATTCTCCAAGAGCCTGATCCCCTGTTCCACCGCTCGGCACAAGTTCCCCTATCAGCAATTCATTGCTGCTCCTGGCTGCCGGAAGCGGGCTTGCAAGCTTCGCCCATCCCGGCTCTAGCCAATCATAGCTTGTAAGAACACCAACACGCTTGAACCCCTGGCTCAAAAATTCACAACCGTCGCCTGAAGGAAAGTCTGGTGGATCTACGGGATCTGGGCTGCAGCCACGAGGGGGTGTCGCACCTGACAGCGTTGGCAATTCAAGCCGAGTCAACACCCTCGACGAAGAACCCATGGGCAGTGTTGCACGACGTGAGAGTAGGTCCTTCGGCTCTGGACTTTCGCGGTAATGAACCGACGAGCTCTCTAGACTATACGGTATATTACCACAATTCATGACGGAGCCTGCCCCGACGCAGGTGTCGCACCTTAGAGGTTGTGTATTGGAAGGCTCTTGGACGAAGGTCTGAAGAACAGAAAATCAAAAGGACAATGTGCGTCGTAATTGCCAAGAGCGGCAATCCCTGCGACAAGATGGGCAACATCAACCGCCTATATAGTCACTCATGCTGCACCCTGCTTCGCCGCAAGTGCTGGAAAATGCACAGAACATCAGAGCCTAACAATATGCCCTCACCATGACGGGATAGCATGCAACTTCTTCCTGCGCCAAGCGCTCACTTCCGATGGCCGAGTTGCAGGTACTGGTGTTGCTCGCGGGTGAAGATCATGTCTGGTGAGCTCGGCGCAATGTATCTGCGCAGCGAGGCTTTCAAGGAAACCGCTGTCTCGCAGGGCCCCAGATTTCATAGAAGTCGGACCCGGCATGCTATCATTTTCGAAACAGTCTTGTCTAATCTTGATGCGGCGAGATGCTGGGACTTCAAATCAGCAGCGCCACAAATGCCATCAGCTGTGATATCCTGGCAGGAACAGTCTCCTGTATGAGCTACGACATTTAGAAAGCGGTCACGGCAAACGCCTCGCCCAACATGTGCAGCTTGAAGTTGTGGAGAAAGCCTCTCACAGCCGAGATGGGGAATGCTGCTTGAGGTATCCGCTCGAAGGAGAACCAGCAAGAACTGCTGGCCGGTCTTTCCGACTCCGTCTCTAAATCCTGGGACGTCATCCGCTGCACCTGCACTCCCACGCTGTGCCAACAAACCACAGGCCTGGTTGCTTCGTGATGTGCCTCAGGTGCGAAGAGCCGGCTGCATGTACCATGTACGGTGCTTTTACATGGCCGGCAGCCTGATTGCATCAGCAGTCCCTTTTCTGAAGGCAGTATGTTGGCTTGGACCCAGTGGCTTCACATTGACGTTGAAGAAAACACACTCATCCTGACCTCAGTTAAGTTCGAACTTGGACGATGGACAAGTGCTCACCTTTGAGCTGCTGAGCGAGCCTAACACTCAGCCAGTTGCCAGAAGCCAAAGACACAGAGAAGCGTGAAGAAACTTCGCCAAACTGTGTAACCTTGAAGGCTGAAGCCGAGATCTTGGGTCCCGGCTCTGGACATTCACCCCAGCCCTGTCGTTCAAGATCCCAGCATCCGGTTCCACCTTGCATCATATAGACTTATTTTGAAGGAGGGCGAGCCCACATGTGCGTGACACAACAGCTTTCGCTCTCTCCTCATTACGTAGCAAAACACATCAATGCATTGCACAATGATGACCTCACAACATCATAGCTGCATTGGCCACATTGATTTTCATTTAGCCATTATGCTCCCTGCACAGCTTCGGCTTCATGGGAACGACATGAGGTTGCAGAGACTGTCCAGCTTTCTCATTGTCCCATCTTCCATTACAGGCTTGCGTGCTCTCGCAACTCGGACAATTTAATGCAGGCGAGGTTGGTTCAGTCATCGGCAGGACTGCGCAATGGCCGCAGAGAGGTCGGGGCCCATCACAACATTACTTACATACTGCATCCAGACCGTGAAGCACAAGAAAACTTGCAGATACTGTTGTGAGTTGCACCAGCAGAAATATACCGGCATGGACCGCATGCTGCTGTATCCTAGTCGCGAAAACGCCGCCGCTTGTCTCCACTCTTCGATCGCTGATGAACACCGTCTCGTTCCCGTTCATCCTGTCGACATGATTCATGTCGCTTTCTGCAAGCTGATCTCCAAGATTGACAGAGTGGCAAGGCAGTCGGACGTACAGAAGTGCACCTGGCAGCAAAGCCAATGGCCACCGCGTTCCTCCCTCTGTTGTACTGACCTCGGAGACGTTTGCACAACAGTTTTCGCCACTCTGCTTTTTTTTCTGTGCTGCTGCTGCTGCCGTTTGACGTCTGTGACAGGATGAAAGCCCAGCGCTCTTTCGAAAAAAGGATGGCAAGCATAGAACCATCCTTCTTGCCATCTGATTCCGCTTGTTCGAAGTGCCTTCTGTGAACCTGTTGACGCCCACACAAGCTGATTTAGTGTCTTCCAAGGGGATGGCATTTGCTGCTACTGCAATCTGCTACGGATCAGGTGACGGCCTGGGAAATACCCAGCACACGCTGGATGAATGGTCAGAGTGTCCGCAAGAAGGAGCATCTTGGGGATCAGACCTAGAATCCCTGTGCGACCGCTCTAAATGCAGCCGCGGGTTGCACTGGAACACGTGCAGCTCGAAGTTGCCGGCCTCAGCTAGCTTCTAAGAACGTCTGAAAGAGAGTGCTAAACCATGAGAGCCGGAGGCTGAGGTCCCCCGCACACATGTTCGAGCGGGCATAGCGGTGAATGCCGGTATCTGAGGCAGAGTAAGCGTCTGCCATTGCAAATCTTCTAAACCGGATCTGTATCTCCTTCGACTACTGAGACTACTGGCTCTGACAGAGCCTGCTGCGCCCTCAGGGGTAATCATGCGGTTTCAAGCTGCTACAAGTAGACCTTCACATGCCAACTGTCCGATTCCTCCTTGAAACGACCAGCAGACCGACTCCGAGTCAGCCTTGGAAGTTGAAGCGCGACTTTGGACGCCAGCTCTTGGTGATGTGGGGATCTCCCCAAAACCGACATTGCTCGAAGCGACTGTCAGCATAGTTGCCTGGTGAGCCAGGCACCGAAGACCCCAGCAAGACAGAGATAGAGGCAGAGAGAGAGAGAGAACATGCAGGCTTCTGCAGAGAATCTCTCGGTGCGTGTTAGTTCCAAGCTGCCAATCTCTGCACAAACCTCACACAGCGGTGGTATTGCAGTGGTGGTGGTGGTCGTGTCGACTTGGGC